TTTTAGGAACATTGATTCTTCAATCAAATCATCATGCTATCAAATTGTGAAATAAAGGTTAAAAGTGAACTTATTTGGCGATTCGGAATCCTAGTACCCTTCCTATACATAGATTTTTTCAAGCATTTGCATTCAATTCGTAATTTGAATTTAGTTCATTTACGTCCATTTAAATTACATTCGTAGTATAATTTAGATAATTTCACATTTGAATCACTTCATTGAATTTACTTAGTTCGGTTAAGGTCGAGATAATTAGAACTTGAACTAACTCAATCTATGTGGGAACGATACTTGGATAAGTTTTGGGTAAAATAATGAACTTGCATCCGTACACTTGCTGTAATCAAAGTCGAATACATTTTCGGCGTGTCATCTACTTTGGTATCCCCATCTTCTCCTACACAGAACTTGAAGTTGCCACCAATAATTTTGATTCTTCTAGAGAACTTGGAGACGGAGGTTTTGGAACTGTCTACTATGGTAAGAATCAATTAGTCATTATGAGGCAGACTCACTCTAAATCATGATAAGTAAAGTTGTGTCTAGTCGATATCTAATATAACTGGCAACTGTTTAAAACTAATAGCAAGTCTGCCTTCTTTCTAATTAGGCAAACTCCAGGATGGGCGAGAAGTAGAAATAAAGCACCTCTATGAGCATAATTACAAACGAGTAGAGCAGTTTATGAATGAAATCAAGATCCTTGCTTGCTTGAGGCACTGGAATCTTGTTTCTCTCTATGGCTGTACTTCAAGGCGCAGCCGGGAACTCCTACTTGTTTACGAGTACGTTTCTAATGGCACAGTTGCAGATCATATTCATGGTGACCGAGCTAATGAAGCACCACTCTCATGGCCAATTGGCATGAACATTGCCATAGAAGCTGCTAGCGCATTGGCATACCTACATAAATCTGATATAATACATCGCGATGTGAAAACGAACAACATACTACTCGACAACAATTTTTGCGTCAAACTTGCAGATTTCAGGCTTTCAAGACTCTTCCCTAATGATGTCACTCATTTATCGACTGCCCCTCAGGGAACTCCTGGATATGTTGATCCGGAATATCGTCAATGTTGTTAAACAATCCAAAAGAGAAAAAGAGGCTAGGGTTTTATTGATTCTGCATAATGTAATTGAATTATTAAAATCTAGATACAAAGAGATTATATATAGTATAAAATAA